CATGCAATGTCAAGCCAAAGCTCAGGAATTATGTGCTCACACAATACGGTTCGTTCGTTCAGATGCAACTTGATTGCTCACACTATACGTGCAAAATAAACATGTGGGATCCCCCGAACCCAGAACTGTGTAGCCTCCATCACGTCTGTCCAAACCACATACCAGAAATTCCTCGGACCATCCGATTGCCGGTCGGAAGAGGCTAATCGCTTCTCATTTCCCCTTGTACACTGCACATTGAAAGACACACGACAAAGCTGAAATTCAGCCCGACTCAAAAAAGAGTCACACGAGTCAGAATTCGGCTCAAAATCGGACGTAAATCACAGTGTATGCACGGCTTAAGACCTTTGTTCATCTTCGTAAACACAAATGAAGATAATTTTGATGAAATCCGAGAGCTTTCTGTCCCTTTGCAGTCAGCCAAGCAACTTACACATTCAAGGTCCAGAACGGCAGGAAAGACATTGCTAAAGTCCTCCATGTGGTTTAACTTAAATTTTACGAATTGACGTGAGTGCTTTGTTTGCGAAAAAACATACTTTACCACTTTATTTACGAAAATATTATCCAAACACGTGTCGTGGTATCTAGTGAACACTCACTCATGTGCATTGTGTTGACGCTATCGTGTGAACACAACACAAATGCGTTGTGATGCTCTCATGAACGCACAATGCAGATCAATATTTTCATAAATAAAGTTTATGTTTTTTTGTGCAAACAAAGCACTTGCTTTGCTTAACAAACCACTGGAGTCACATGGAGTACTTTAAAGGGGTCATATGATGTTGCTAAAAAGAACATTATTTTGTGTATTTGGTGTAATGAAAAGTGTTTATGCGGTTTAAGGTTCAAAAAACACATTATTTCCACATACTGTACATAACTGTTTCACCTCTATGCCCCGCCTTTCTGAAACGCGTCGATTTTTACAAAGCTCATCTGTCTGAAAAGTGAGGTGTGCTCTGATTGGCCAGCTATCCAGAGCGTTGTGATTGGCCAAATACCTCAAGCGTACCCACATCTGAATATTTGGGTTGAAGTGTTCTGGAACAGAGTTGTAAATACAACTTAACCACTGATTTCTAGTCGTGTCCTCTTTTGGAAAGCCAAACAAAGTATTTTCGGTTTTGCAACAAGCACACAGCGTCTTCACAACATGGCGGCAGCGGTGGCAGCCAGCAACAATAAGTTACTTTCTTTGCGTGCACATTTGGGCGGCGTTATGCAAATCTTCCCACATCGTGACGTAGACATGTGGGGGCGTGTTTA